AGAGCTCACAGGATGGAGAAAACTTTTGCAAATCATGTATCTGATAAGGGACTTGTATCCAGAAAAAAGAACTCTCACAACTCAACAACAACAAAAGGACAAATGGCACAGATGTGAAGACATTTCTTTAAAGAAGATGTAAAAATGGCCAATAAGCACATGAAAAGATGCTCAACATTATTAGTCATTAGGGAAATCCAAATCAAAACAACAATGAGATCCTACTTCACACCCACTGGAATGGCTATAATCATAAAGACAAAAAAATCAGTGTTGGCGAGGATGTGGAGAGATTAGAATCCTCATATATTGCAGGAGGGAACGCAAAACAGTACAGCCACTTTGAAAACAGTTTGGTAATTCATCAAAATGTTCAACCTTAAGTTACCATTTGATCTAGCAATTCCACTCCTAGGTATATACCCAAGAGAAATGAAAACTTATGTCCACACAAAATATTGTGTTCAAGCGTTCATCATTATTCATAATAGCCCAAAAGCAGACACAGCCCAAATGTCCATCAACTGATGAATGGATAATAAAAGGTGGTCTGTTCATAGAACGGACTATTATCTGGCAGTAAAAAGGACTGAAGTGCTGACACATGCTGCACCACGGAAACCTTGAAACCTCCGTGCTGAGCGCAAGACGCGGTCACAGAAGACTGCATACTGAACGATCCCCTTAACGTGAAATGTCCAGAACAGACGAATCCAGACATGGAAAGTAGACCAGTGGCTACCAGGGGCTGGGGGGTGGGGGAAAGGGGAGCGACTGCTAATGGGTACAGGGTTTCTTTTGGGGTGATGAAATGTTCTGGAATTAGATGGTGATGATAGTTGTACAACTCTATGAATACACTAAAACCCACTGAATTGTACACTTTAAAAGTGTACATATTTAATTCATAAAAAGTGAATTTTATGGTATGTGAATTATATCTCAATAAAGCTGTTTAAAAAAAATTTTAAAAAGAAAGAAACTCCCTGAGACTGGGAACCAGCATACAGCAAACGTGGTCTCCGCAGAAGCAGGTTTTGGTCACAACATGACTTTTCCACCAGAGCCTATTATTCCCTCTGAATTCCTTTGATCACAGGACGAAGAACATCTGGAGAGTCTGGAGAGTTCCAGCTGTGTGACTCGCCACACTGGCCTGGACAGACCTGCCCCGCCAGACAGGGCTGGACCAGGGCTGCAGGGGGTGCCCTCTGGAGCAGGGGAGTCTAATGTCTCTAAGCACTAACGTCCTCACTCCAGCACTGCGCACCAGCTGGGGAGGGAGGGCACCAGCTCAGGTGTGCGAGGCCGCAACCGGGGCTCAGCCGGCTCGGAGCCCCGCCCTGCCACTGCTGGCTACTCACTTCTAGGCATGAAGATGGCCACTTCACAGGGCTGTGTGAGGGTGAGCAGTGAGAAAACAGGGAATGCACCTGGCACGTGGTAAACAGGAAACTCAGCTGCTTCTATTTGGTGGTTGTTAGGAATTTTCTGACCTACTGCTTTGTGATGATCCCTGTGTGGCCTTTAGAGACATGTGCATGGCCTTCCCAAATCAACTGTCAGCACGTTCAGGTCAGTGGTCACCCCTTGACCGTTGGTGGCCCACCCATACTTTGTGCAGGGCTGTACAAACGGTGGGTCCTATAAAGACTCCTGGGGAGGGAGGAAGACCACCTGGCAAACACAGGTGAGACAGGAAAGCCACGCTCCCCATTCCAGATGGAGGCCTGTGTCCTCTGTCAACCTGGAAAGATCCTGCCTCAGCCAGGGAAGTCACTGTGATGAAGGACAACTCCCGCTGGGGACACAGCATCTCTGTGGCTCCCAATAACCCACAGTAACTGCTGATGGCGCCCGCTCTGTCCTTTGTTCACCTCCCTGGTGGTGCAGAGCCACGGTCCGGTGACATTCTTAACTACTGGTGGGTGGCACACTTTACTGCTACACTAAGAGGTGACTGGGCAGAACCCCCAAGAATGTCTGGAGGTGATGGGAACGTGACAGATCTAGGATGGGCACGCTTACCTAACCCCCAGCCACTGGGCAGCCTGTGGACTAAGTTTAGATTTCAAGTGTCCATCTGCGCTTTTAAAAATGTTTCTTTTTGAAGGAAGATACATTATAATTAAGTAAATCTTTAGTTCTTCATCAAGGCTGACGAATACGAATATGAAGAAGCCCGGGGTGAATTCTGTGTCGTTATGTTACCAGGCTGCCCAGGTGTTTCACAGCCAGTGTGACTGGATGGGCTCATGCTGCAGGTCCTGCAGAGGCAGTGTGGCACACAGGGACAAGATGGGGTGCCCAGCACCGTTCCTCACCCCAACCTCCAAATGGCGAGCACTCACTGTGCCGGCTCCTGTGCTGAGCACTCCGTGGTCTTGTCTCTTTAATCCCGCCAACCCTAAGAGTTAGGCATTGTCTTTCTTCCCCAGTGACCCAAGTGCAAGTCTTGGGCCTTCCTGTAACTCACCATGTGACTTTAGCAGGTCATTTAACTTTTCTGGGCCTCAGTTTCCTCACCTGTAATGAGGACAATGGTTCCCATTTTGCTGGACTCCTACCCCGGACTGGTGCGAGAATTACACGACATATTGCCTGGAAACGCTCCGTCATCTGACCATGGCTCTGCTAGCACCATGGCCAATAATGTGGGATCGGTCTTCCTAGTTTCATATCATGGCTCTTCCCACAACCTGTGTGACCTAGGGCAGGACACACAACTTCTCTAACCCTAACACTCCATCTGTAAAACTGGGAAACTGTGCTGTGGGACGCACCTGTGAGAAGAGGTGAAGGCGTTCCCTCCGTGTGACTGCGTGAGTGCCCACAGTGCTGGCAGCCCCGTCCTGGGGCCCAGGTCACACCCACACCCTCTCCTCAGCCCCACAAAGTACTCTCATTACAGGTGCCATAACAGGTGTGATGACCCGTAGACTCATAACAAACACAGGTCCTAAAAAGTATGAATGTTAAGTCCTTTGAGCTAAAAGATAGGAAAAAGAGGAATGCTTTTAGAATAGATAGTTCAAGACATTTAGATGGAAAAAGGGGGAAAGGATGCTAATGACTGTGACAGGCCCTGAGCTGAGGACTTCACTTGAATTCTCTCCTCTAACCCTGAGACTACTCCGCAGGCAAGACCATACACATGTCTATAAAGGCCACAAGCGGATAAGGATCCTCAGGTTACAAATGAGGCAACAGGCTCAGAGAAGTTAAGGAACTTGCCTAAGAGCACCAGCTAGGAAGTGGCGCTCCTGAGCTTCAAGCCTGGGGCTTGGGAATTCTGGAGCCCTGCCTTTCCAATTCTACAGAGCTGACATCTGGGCATCTGCTAGGTCAGGAATGCTTTGACCTTACATGGAAACTTACAAAGGACACTGAGTAAGATTAAAAAAAAAATCTGAAAAAGACCAGAAGCCCACTAAATACCTCACCTTAATTTGATCAATGCTGTCACCAGATAACTCTTGAATATGCTTGAGACTGTGCGTAAGGCCAGAGGGACTGAAAAATGTGATGCTGGCTGGAACGCCCTGTGGGGGAGAAAACAAGATGACTCCTTTGCCGTGAAGCGGAGAATGTTCCCCGAGCCCCGCCACTGCCAACCCCTCAGCCACAGAAGGCAGCCCCTGGCAGCCCAGGCAGATTCTCAGCGGGGGTGGGGTCCCAGCTGGTGTTGGCATTCTCTGCCCCGTTGGGGCTGAGTTCAGGCCAGGAACTGTTCAGAGAGCAAAGTGCGACGGAGGGGCTGGGTGCTGCTCCTGGGTCACTCTGCCAGCCCCCAGGTCTGTGTCTGCCCGGCCAGAGGACATGGGCACTGTGGACTCCATGTGCCCAGCCAAGTGGGCAATGCCTGTAGCAGTGTGGCCAAAGTGGCACTGGTCAAGTAAGGCAGCAGTCGAGCCCAGCTCCCTGTCAACCCTCCATCCCTTCTGGTGACAGGGCAGACAGCAGACAGACTGGCAGCGTGGCCTTTCTGCTTTGGTTTGTGCTAACAGGACTCCCACGACCAGCAAGGCCATCAGAAGCCAGTCCTGGGAGAGGAAGTGGGGGCGTGTTATAGATGTGGAAAACTTCAGTCAACTCAGACACGCACCAGCCACTCTTCTGCCTGAAGCCTCCAAAGGTCCCCGTGGCCTCCCAAAGTCCATCCAGACTCCTTGGTGGGCACTGCAGGCCTGTCTAGTGTGGGCCCAGCCTCCCTTCCAGCCTCTGCCCCTACAGCTCCAGCAGTGCTGGCGCCCCTGTCAGCCTCTGGCTTACTACATCTGGGATGCGGTACAAAGGGCTTTACAGCAATTATCCCCTTTAATCCTTACAAAAACCTTACCAGATGGGTCTATTCCCATCTCACAAACAGATGGAGCCTCCAGAAAGTCACTTCCTCAAAGTCACTCACTGGGGATGTTGGAACCACGTACGGAGCCAACAGGTGCAAAGGTGCAACAGGTGCTGTGTCCCCCACCCCCATGCCTCCACCGCCTGGGTACCCACCCTGCCTGAGGAACAGAACGCACCTGCTGGGAATAGTAGCTGTTCAGGTTCGCTTGGATTCCCGGGTGTGGAATCTTCTGATAGACAGTTATGCTTTCCATGGGAATCCCTGGACACAATCAAAACCAGGAAACAGACTTCATTGCCCTGGGAACACAACGGAGTCTCTGCACCTCGGGGCAGTTAGTGGAGACCCCCAGTGCAGCACTACCCTCCTGGAACAAGCTGCCAGGGGCTGGGAGTGTGGCGCAAGGACATGCAGTCTCGGCTGGCCCTCTGCGGCCAGGTGAACACCGCGGGGGAGGCTGAGATGGCAGAGGAAGGACAGGGCCCTGAACCATGGCCTGCCTTCAGACCCACGGGTGCCTTTTCTTCCCGTGTTCGTGTGGGGTGTCTGAGGGACCGTCCTGGCCACTCCACCTGTGCTGTCTGTGTGGAATCCCACGCCGAGGGCAGGGGTGGGGGTGGAGCTCTCAGGGAGTTTTTCAAGGGGCTGAAGCAGGCAGCCAAGAACCTTCTGAGGCCCAGAGGCCTTGGTCCCTGGCAACCTTGGTCTCCAGCAACCGGATGCCAGGAACTGAGGTCCAAGGGCAGGTCTTGGGAGAGGCCATGAGCCAGAAGGGGGGCCTGGGTCAGGAGCTGCGTCCCAGCTCTGCCTCCACGGGGCCACGTGCTCCTGGACGGGCCACCCCTCTCGAGCGGCTCCAGGACCCCCGCCTATAAATGAGTGGATTAGGCTCCGGACTGCCTCACGTTCCCTCCTGTTCCATTCAGTGACTCTGAACCTTCCCAGGGTTTCACAGCTGGCGAGGAGGGAGGAGGCACTGAAGTGACCAGCACGAACTTCGATCGCAGACACATTTACTAGGGCAGCCTCTCAGCAAGGAAACCTCAGGCTTATGGAAATGAAGTAGGAGAGAATCTCTCAGAAGGAATCAAGATAATTTTAGCATAAAACAGCAACCTATCACCATTTCATACCCAAAAACCTAAAGAAAGAAAGTGAAGTAGCAAATCTCTGATTTACGTAGGATTTCTTTAAAGATATCCACGCTCAAGCTTTCTCTTTTGTTCTCTTCTGGCACTTTTCTTGTTCCAGAAAGGCCCCTGACCTTGCAGATCTTAGTGCCTAATGTCTTCTGCCAGTATTCCTGGTACATTCAGAAGATGGATGACAACAGGGGAGAAGAGATGCAATCTCGCTCCATTTTAATACAGGGCTTAAATTCATCCTGGGTAACACACTTCATGTGGATTGTTGGAGGCTCAGGGCAAAGGGAGAGGGTGTAACAGTTGCAGTTCCATGAATCGCTTGCTTTTGGAGAGCCAGGCATTATGCTACGTAACCTCACAGCCGCTCTCTGGTTACAGGCTCTGAAGCTGTGGAGACAGGCTCTATGGTTACAGCCATTTCACAGCAGGACACTGATGCACAGAGAGTTGCCCTCACTCACCCAGCTAATGAACAGCAGAGGGAGAATTCACATCTGTTTTTGTCTCACCCTAAAGTTTGTACTTCAAACTGCAGATTCCTTCTTGCTCCCAGACCAACTATGTGACGAGGAAAGGTGTGCAGGTGACACCTCAGACATCTGAGTCAACGGAGCTGGAATGCTCCAGGGCATGGGCTGGTTCCTAGACAGTGAAAGCCCAGGGACCACAGGGGACCCAGAAGGAGCGAGGCCTGAGTGGCGGGGCTGGAGCATGCTGCATGCCAGCATAAGATCAGCTCCGTCCCTGGACGTCCTTCTACCTGTGAAGCTGCCCCGGGGTCGCCTCCAGACCACTACCACTTGTACCCTTGGTGAAGGCTCAGTGACACTGCGTGCTCCCAGCTGGAGCTGAGCAGACAAAGCAAGGAAAGCAGACAGCACCCCCACACCTAACATGAGGAGTGCCCCGCCCTCCCCCGGCCTGGCTGATCCACCCAGGCCTGCTCTCCCTTGTGGTCCCCGCAGGGCTGACCACTTCTATCACCATGAAGGCTCTCAGCAGACGCCAGAGAGGAGAGGGAGGCACCGCCCCACGAGTCGGTGCATTCTAGTCACCTTTGTCCTTGAGCATTTTCGGCAGGATCTCTCCTTTGAGGGTTCCACAGGGAAAGAGAAGAGGCAGTGCTGATGACTCCCCTGCGAATAAATAACCAGACTTTGTAAAAGCTCTGGAGACACTCCAGGGGAGGGGCACGTGCACAGGGGCGTGGGGAGGAGCAGCCCCAGGCCCTGCTGTGCTCCTCGGGTCTCAGTTCCAGCGACTGTAAGAGGCAAGGACAATGGCTACCACGCTGGCCTTGTATACAAAGCTCACAGAAGTAATGTGGACGAAGGTGCTGAGAACACTAACCTCCACAGAGGCCAGGGCTGCCGTCCCCCATGCTCCTCTAACCCCCTCTCATCCTGAAGTGGCTCCTGGGCAGCAGTCACTATTTAGGGTGCAGACTCTGCACCTTAACCAGAATCAAGAAGTCAGAGGTCAGGCCTGGCGCTGGCACTGGAGGAGACACTCTCTACCTCTGGAGGAGCCCTGGATGGGACAAGAGGCGGCTGAAGCTGGGGCTCCAGCTCACGAGGAGGCAGAGAAACAGCAGCCAAGAGTGACCTGCAGCCATCTCCAACAGAGACAAGCTGCACGCCCACTCACATCCCAGCCAAGACAGCAGCACCAGGCCAAGTGCCCAAGGGGCTGAGGGACCCTGTGCAGGAGCCCCGCCTGCTAAGAATGGCCCTGCCTCTCATCCCTGCTCCACGTCTCCATGCTGGGGAGACTTACGGAATTTTCCGCTCTAAGCTCACTGCAGAATCATGAAGACAGCATGCGATTTGAACACGAGTTTGAGACAATATCATCCAACAAAACTTACGGGTTGTCAGATTCCAGAATCCTCCTCAAATGTGAAAACAAAGCATTTTAGTAGAGCTAATCATTTCCCCTCCACATCTGTCTGTCCAATGTAAGAAGTGTTAATGGGTGTTGGTCATACACAAACATATACTTTTCTACATCTGTAAGACCTCTCTGAACACATCTTTTTTTGGTGATTGCAATCAAAGGAAGAAATAAACCAAACTTTTCCCATCCAGCACTTTCTCCATGATGTCCAGCTAAACAAGAGGAATAACCACAGGCTTCTTTGTTTCAAGTTACTAAATAACTACAAACCGATGCATGTTTTCTTTATTTAAACTGCTCTGTAAACATCAGTATGTACTGACATATAAAAGAACACAAGGAATTATGAAATTTTTAAATAGAGATAATAGATGCCCACTGACTTCTCTTTCCCAGTGTGAGGAAAATGTATCCATGCCCTGGGGGTGCCATCTCTAGAGACACATTTTCAAAGCCATGTTCAGGTGCTGTTTGCTTAATCAGAGCCCAGGCATCCCTCCAGTGCCTGCGTGTCTGTGCCTGTTGCGGGGTGGGGTGTGCAGGATTCTAGGGGCCAAAGCTGCTCCAACAGACCCTTCTCAGCCCCCTGCTCTGGGGCAGCTGTGGGAATCCGGCAGGAAAACCAGGGGCCTACCTTTCCAGCAAGCCGAACCCCAGAGGTGTGCAAAGCGCCTTCGGGAGATTGTAGAATTTACTGCCCTTCGAAGCATCCCTTCGGCAGGTCCAGCAGAGTATTGAGCTGCTCATTCTTATTCTCTGACTGCTGGCCTCTACTAGGGAGATGGGGAGCTTAGCATCTGCTTCCTGGCCCAAGACAGGCATTTGTGTCTTTCTCACTGCACCCCCAGTGCTCAGCAGAGAGCTGGGCCATGCAGGCCAGACCAGCTCAGCTGCCTTCCTGGAAAGCGCTGCCCCAGCAGCAGATGGGCAGCAAAGCTGACAACGTTCTGGTTGAAGCCTCTTTCACTGCCAAGGGGAAAGCTACCTCAACTGTATTTCCTGGGGAGCTAACCCCCTTTGAGAAGTCAAGGGCAAATAACCCATTCCTTTTTGGGATAAGCTTACCGCCTGCAGATTTTTAGACCAAATAGGCCAGTGCTGAATAGGTCAATGTTAAAGCTGATTGATTCTGCAGAGGTGAGAGAGGCGGTCTCTCCGGGACAAGAGAGAGAGACAGGAGCCTGGCAGGAGTCTAAGCTGACACTCAAGTGGTGAATCATGGGGCTCAGAGGCTCCGCTCTCCAGTCCTTTAGCAGGACAGAGGCCTGGACTGCTCGGCTGTGGGGGTTGAAGACAGCAGCGGTGTTGAAACTCCTAGGAGAGTGTCATGCAGCTGGGGTGAGGCTCGATAAGTAGTCACTGTAGGTAACCAGGATAACGAAACTGATTTTGTAAATGTCATTTCATTGGAGGACATGTGCGCACGTGTAAAACTCCACAACTTGCAGGTGTGCAGTGATTTCACCCTCTGAGGTGCTGCTGTGACAGTCCAGGCTGTGTACGCAGTGGGCACTTAACTGTGGATAACTAGGATAATGAGTCTGATTGGGAGGGAGGGAAGAAGAGCTGAGCAAGTCTTCAAGGCTGCAGTAACTTTTGTCAGCTCCAAGTCCAGGAGGACATTTCAAATAAACTTCAGCACAGTCTGACTGCCTTTGACTTCCTCTCTCTCTTTAAATTTTGTAATTGTCTTCTGTCTTTTACCATTTAACTTGCACTTTCTCCTCTGTTAGAGGAGATATCCTGGAAGGGAAGGAGAATTGTCTGTCAGAATGATGTGCTATCAGATTAAATGTGTTAATAGCTTTAAGCACTTACAATAGTGCCTATCATAGTAAGTAAGTGTTTAAGTAAAATAAGCAATAACTATGATTCGGGTCTGTTTACTCCAAGCATTGAGAGTAGATTCTTAGCTTTTAAAATCAAGCTTCAGAGTTTACTCGGGGAGAAAATCATTAATGCCTTGGTAAAACCAAGGTGAAAATCCTTCCTTGCAGTCAAGATGGATTATTATTTGGATATTCTACTTGTGAACTGAAGATTTATTAGGACCCACAGACATGCTGGAAATAAATTAAAGGAAGTGACAAGGGCTTTGCAAAGAATGCAGACCAGTCTCCTTCGTCCGAGATAAGGGCAGAACCTGTTCATATCCAGCACCCAAGCCCTGGGTCAGTTAATTGTGTATCTCAGTGTGCTATCTCAGCTGTGACACAGATCCTTTCCGTCTTGTGTCTGCAAAGTGAGGAACACCAGCTTGACAGCTCTGGACCTTAGAATAAGGAATGACTCAGTTTCCTTCCATCTCCTTCCAGAGCTAATGCATCAACTGTGAATGCAGCCAAATCATCTGCTGAGGAAACAGGCTGGAGCGACCTATTCCATTAAGGAGCTAAGTGTCCCACCCAAAGAACCAGTAATCTTCCCTTATAAAACCTGGCACTTAATCACACAAGGAATGCCAAGGTCGACCACTTACATTGATTTCTACATTAAAAAAGAAGGGATTTGATACCATTTAACAGCGACCATTATCCCCTGATACGATGTTAGAAACAAAGAGTCTGGAGTTGGATCACTGTGGAACATTCTGAATATCTGCATCCCACCCAGCAAACAGCTGGGGGAGGAGCCCAATCATACTGATGCTCCTCTCCCTCAGCAGAGGTGAGGCTCAATGGCTGAGAAACAAACCCTGGGGCTAGGGCCACATGACGAGGAGCCTAGGA